GAAGAAAAAGCGAGAATCCGGGCTGCAATGTGGATAGATCGGCCAGTCGAAAATCAACGTTACACTGTCTGCTGTTCGATGTGGAACAGAAAGCGCGTAGTACCTTTTTTCTTTCGCGGTAACAGGACTAGACGAGATTGCAGCACGAGCCATGGGTTCAAGATATTTCGATGACCGAAATGTCGTTAAACGGGTAGACACTCGCGGTCGCGTGCTCGCGTGTTCACGTGCCAGAGTTGTGGACTACGTGCGGAACGGTTACGAGAAGCAAACGAAACGTAACCGTACGACGAGGTCGAGCAGAAACGATCGCGAACAGAAACACGATTGATGCACTGAGAACATCGAAACGGTAGAAGCACGTCGTTGGCGCGTGTGTCAGCCTGTTGGCCGTAGGCTCGTTCACCCGATACACGCGTGTGTTGAGTAAGATATAGGGTTTTCTCGACGCACGAATACGTGCGCGACCTCGCCTGCAGATGGATTCAACCGTTCTCCTGCAGGTGTGCGAGTATAGGTGTAATGATGCGCGCGCGGCCGCGCTCGCTGCCGCTCGCGTACACCATTGCCCGTGCGTGTGCGCACGATATATCGCATCGGTATAGACGTTGCGGGGCTTCTCTCGTTCGTTGTTCGAGCGACAATATAAAGGGCCGGCTAAACGCGATATACCGCTGGTAATCGCAACCAACCCGTACAACCGTCGCCAACACTCGAATCGATTCGATTCGATTCGATTCTACGCGATTCGATTCGAATCGAATTGACTCGGATTCTATATTCCATCCTACTGTTCGCTTTACCTTTTACCCCGTTTATGATCATCGTTCGTGTTATTTGCGAATGTTTTTCTTCGAAAGATATCGGTTACGCCAATGCGCTCATAGGTAAGCTCGTATAAATATATATATATGTATGTATGTATGTATGTATGTATGTATGTATGTATGTATGTATGTATGTATGTATGTATGTATGTATGTATGTATGTATGTATGTATGTATGTATGTATGTATGTATGTATGTATGTATGTATGCATGTATGTATGCATGTATGTATGCATGCATGCATGTTTGTCCGCGACACACTTTGTGATCCTGATTGCAGCTCGAACACAAACGAAGTTTTCGCGATTCATCGATTTAGTCGGTTAGGTGAATACCACACCACCACTCCCTTCGCTTACAAGGGGTTTCATATATCGTGAAGTAAAAAAAAAAAAATACACGCTACGCTCGATTATATTGATCGCAATGTATTCATACTATCTAAGTTCACATATTCACAATATAGATACAAATTATTTTAGGATTCGACGTTAGTACATACAGTATAAACATTCGTCGAATTCGAGATTCGAAAAATAAATTGGTCTTTTGTTACGTTCACGTTAGCGTCCATATCCACGGCTTGAAATTTCTCGTTATCATCTTGGTAGATCTTTTCGCATTTAAATATATTTTGCGCAGAAAAAATGCGCACCGTTATTATCGCACGATTCGGGTTTTTATTTTGATGCTTCGTCGATTTGGCACGGTTTCGAACGGTTTTCGCGACAAGGCAAAGACTCGATTAAACGTGGCTGATCGATCACCGTGCACGAGAGATCAGCCGTCTTTGGACAAACGCGCGTATTACACGTAATTTGCATATTTACATCGTGTGTCATTTCACAATCGTACAACGTGCGCTTGATATTAACGTAATTAATTAAAAAATAAAATAGTCGATCAAAAAGTTAAAAATTTGGTAGAAAAGTCAATTAAACTATTTTTCGCATATTTTTCTTCTGCGTCATCATCGTTATCGTCATCACCACCAATGAAACGCTCAACGTTGTGCCGTATATATTACATCTACGAAACATCATACATTCCACAAATATATCAGCTAGAGCAGGAGGAAGACTTTGCTAGGTTAATCGTAACTCGCAAAAATCGAAGCTTGTTCTTCCGCTATATAAACCGACAGCAAAGGCTCGCGATGCTTCTCGAGACTTTTGTTCTTTCTTTCCTTTTCTCTGCGTTTTTTTTTTTCTCTCTCTTTTTCACCGGTTTATCGTTCATCGATACAACAAACATTCGATCCATCACAGTTTCGAGTTTAGGACGGAAACAGGCTATTCCATGGATTATGCCGAGCTTAAAAGTTCTCTGCAACAACGATTATTAGGCAAGGTATTATTTCGACCTACCTCGCTACCTATCCTCTGTACTGATTTTATTCTTTTCGTCACGTACTCCTCTCGCTGTTCACGATACGCATCATCGCGTGTACGCATCGTTGCGAGAAGACCCGAATACGGAGTACGCCGTTACTAGTCTAAATACTTACGTCGAAAGTTCTCTTCCCAGTAAACCAGTCCCGACTAATCCTGTGCGCGATCGACTTCTATTAAGTTGAGCTCTTCTCTCTGCTGTAAAAAAGAAACATTTACGTCGTTTGTATCCGTTTTTCACACGTACTTGTTCATACGCTATATTAACTTGGTCGCTTCGCGTTTCGTGCGTGTCTCGATCTCGATTAGAATCACCTGTTGCACGCAATAGATCAGCTACTGTTTCAGTGAAAATAGTTTAAATACTGATCGATAGTGCAGGAAATTGTCTTTATTAATTTGAAAATTACGATATTTACAACGAGTGACATTACAAGTGATCGATACAGATGTACGCGGACATGTTTCACGTTCGTCTCCGTATTCAGATCACAAATTATATAACACAGCCTATATAGATTTCTTCATAAAAGTTCTACTTCTAAACGGTGTAATGCTGCTATGTAAACAATGTTTTTCTTCTTCTTTGTTTCCTTTCTTCCCTTCTTTCTTTCTTTCTGCTTCCCCCTTTTCGAACGACTAACAAAATCCGTATCGATCGTCGGTGCAATGCGTTTTTTACCAACAAAAGAAAAAGAAAAAGCAAGAAGCGAAAAGCGAAAAGTGAAAAGCGAAAAAAGAAAAAGAAGCGCGCGTCAAAAATGGTTATACCTATTTTCCCTCGAAATCGTCGATTTACGCAATTCGATATCGTGATTGTAATTTTGTTAAAAAAAGAGTTTGAGAAAAGCAACGCCACGACGATACGATATGATACACGAAACGAGATCAGACCAGACTAGACTAGACGAGATGAGACGAGAGACGAGACGAGACGAGACGAGACGAGACGAGACGAGACGAGACGAGACGAGACGAGACGAGAGGAGACGAGAGGAGACGAGACGAGACGAGACGAGACGAGACGAGACGAGACGAGAGGAGAGGAGACGAGAGGAGACGAGAGGAGACGAGAGGAGACGAGAGGAGACGAGAGGAGACGAGAGGAGACGAGAGGAGACGAGAGGAGACGAGATGAGACGAGATGAGACGAGAGGAGACGAGATGAGACGAGATGAGACGAGATGAGACGAGATGAGACGAGATTCAGTCTTCTCGCGATATAAAAGATGTATGTATATATGTATGTACGATGATGACGTGTACAAGAACGAAGTAATCGTAGCATGGTAATATGGTGGTGTCAAGTTGGAAGGTACAACGTCAAAGACGATATCGACGATGCAAACGCGCGATAAATCGTTTACCAAAATTTCCAAATTCTTTTTCGATGTTTCCTCTTTGAAAGCGTTGAAAGCGATTGTCCGTGTCCGGCAGCGATCGACAGCGTATCGTTACAGTCTCGTTTGCTCGATAACGTCGATGACGCATCCTTCTTGCGCCCGAAAGTTGAAGAAAACTGTAACGCGTTATGCGTGAATCCTAATCGATCTCGAGTCTCGAGTGCGGTGGATTGGGCGAATTGAAAAACAAGCTGATCCGGTTCGATCGCATTCTCGTTGCAAGTTCCGATTGGCGAACCAGAGAGAGATTTCAAAGCTGGAAGTTGACTGTTCGAACACTGTACGGACATATCGTTTTCGTTCTCGTCCTTCCAACGAGCAATGTCGTTGAAATTTCTCGTTCGAATCAACTGTAACGGGCTCGAGATACTTTCCTCTATTCTCGTCGCGACATCATCCATGGATTTCGATATTCTATCGGACACGGTATCGGAGACACAGCAAATGGAATGATTCTCGATTAACGAAACGCTTCCGCTCGTCGGGCTGCCCAAGTAACCGAACGGCCTTCTTGCTCTTTTACCGCCGGCAGATTTCGAATGTTTCAGTCTACGATTCTTAACGGTACGACGCACGATGCTGTTTCTCTTACGTTTCTTACTTACTATCACCCGCTTCCGTTTAACCGGGCTAAACTTCAGCCGAGCTTCACCTATCAAGACTGTCCGATGGAGAGAGGGTGAATGTAAGCTTAAACATCGAGACAAATTGTTCGACGCTCGAGATCTAACGACGCGCGTTGTCGTCGTCGCACGTTTCTTCAGCTCGTCTATCACAAACCCGTAAGACGTGGTCGACGCGACAGTAGCTACAGACCCGACACGTCTGATGTAGCCGCTCGATGAATTCGACGTTTCATCGAAATTTTCAGACATTCTTATAGAAATGTCCCTTTTCGGTGTTTCTTCGATCATCGATCGGTCGAAACGTGTTTTCTTGCACGCGATTTCGCTTTGCTTCTTTCTCTTAAACGAGCTCACCCTAGACAGATATTTCTCGTGCTTGGGCGTTTTCGTAGCACGATCGATTAACAAACGCTTATAGAGATGTTGATTTTCTTCCGGTGTCGTATACCGAGCGAGATCAGAATTCTCTGAAATCATGAATGGATCACGAGGTAGCGAGGTTGCGTATCGCGCGGCTTTATTTCGACTTTGTTTAACCGCGTGTCGCTCGATTTCTCCCGGTTCGTACAACTTAGCGAGCAACAGTTTCTCCTTCTTCGTAGATTTCGTCGAAGCGTATGCAGTCCTATAGAACTTACCACCAGCGGCGCGTGTTTGACGTTTGCGTCGTTGATCCGGTCGACTGAACGCGGAACCAGTTTGAAGAGCCTCCATTAAGCTGTCCATAACGCCTTCCTGCGTCTCGTGCGCGTTCATGTCGACGAGCGCTCGTTTCCGCGCTGCTCGTGCCGCTTTCTCCGCCTCTGCTTTTTCTCGCGCCTCTCTTGCTCTCCTCTGCTTCTCTTCTCCTTCCCTAAGCTTTATTATCTCCTTTTGAGCTTGCTGCAAAAACGCGGGTTCGAAAATCAGACGTAATACCAATTACTGCGTGCAGCATATTCACGATTTCTCTACCTACCATGAAGTCGTCTTTAAACGTTTTTATATCCCCAAAAAATTCTTCTATCGTGTACTTCTGCTTATCGAAGGAAAAGAATTCCGAGATTTCGGTATACAAGCTGTCCATATTTTTGAACATATTCTGCAGAACTTCATAAGATTCACGGGCTTTCTTCGCAAACGGCTGTGAATCGATAGCACGATATTTAAGGAAAACCATCTCAACGAATTTAAACGTCTTACTTAAGCGCTCTAGTTAAATCACCGATATGAATGTTTGCGATCACCGATAACGGAAAGAATGCAAAAAAGGATACACCCATGACATTCAAAAACAAGTCTTCGTCGGATTGTGGGATTTTGGCATTCGATAAATCTTGCTCGAGATTTCGAATATTGCTATCCATCTGTCGTAATGTTCTTTGCACGTTCTCTAGGGAAACACGGCTCGCTCTGTCCACGTGTGCCAATTCTTCTGCAAAGTTCAGACACTCCGGAAATTGCCTTTCGATCGTGTCAACTAAATAGTGCATCAGAGTCTGTTTGTTATCGACATCCTTCGTGCTGGTCAACTGAAAGTATCGAAAGTATCCATACCGTACAATGCAAATGTCTATACTCGTACAAGATATGCTGTTGTTTCGAATCCTCGTCGCATATCCGCGATTTTTTTTACGACAAGGAACAAACCTTGGTAAGAAAACTGATTTCGAATCCAAAAGCTTGGCCATGTTTCGAACCGGAATTCATGTAGTTGCCAAGCAATAGAATTAACTCGAGAATTCGGGCAAATTTTTTGCTACCCTTTACTTCCTCGCAAGCGGCTGTACCCGCTACTATGTCCGGTTTCACGTCTTGCACCAATTCTTCGTATCGTAACATGAAGCTCAACGATCTCAGCCTTGGCAACAACCTCTTGATCGTCGATACCTAATGGCATTATATGGCATTATATGGCATTATATGACATTATATGACATTATATGACATTATATGGCATTATATGGCATCATTCGTAATACATCGTCTCGAGGATATTTCAACGTTTGGCAAAATAAGAGTCTCAAAATTTTCGACTGAAATATTTCAATGTTACTCACGGTAATGCAAAACTGTTCGGCTTCCGTCAAATCGTCGTACTGATCTTTGTAAAGTTGCAGTTTCGATAGTTGGTCGGGTGGCGGTAAATACTGTATCAATCCTTGAAGTATATTGTCCGAGACGACAGGTCCTTTACATTTGAGTAAACAAGATTTCACCTCTTCGTACGACATATGCTTTAAAGTACCGTTAAGAAGAATAAGGATATTTTGCGCAGCTTTGCCATCCAGAACCTTTAGGTCTTTCACCTTCTTCGACGCAGCTGACCTGCATAAATAGGAAATAGAAAAAGCATTACTCCCATCAAACGTTGCATTTTAATAACCAAATAATAATTAATGGAACGCGTTCGAATTACTTGTCCACGACATCATCGATTTTCTTTCCACTCGGTTTCGATGCAAACTTTTGGGCTAAACCGTCCAATATCTCGGGATTGGCCAACCTATCCTCTTGTACTTTTGTCCAAAATGATTTCTCGGTAAGTTTGTGCGGCAGAATCTACGAAACGTTCCACTTGTGAACACGATCATTCTCTACCGATTCTTTCACGAGAGATAAAAAGACTAGCGCATGAAATATTATTTACTGCTTTCCAGTTTGCTCTCTTCAATGGCGCATCGACTTCCCATTTTTTCTTCGGTTTTAGTCCTAACGGAAGCGATTGCTGTACGTTCATCATGCCCGGTATAATTCCAGGCATCATTGGTGGAGGTACTGGACCTAATCCTGGCATCGGTGGAGGTATAGGTCCAGGTTGCGTACCAGGCATAGGAGGAGGCGGAGGACCAGCAAATCCGGGAAGCGGTGGCGGAGGTGGCCGAGGACCACCGAAACCTGGTAGAGGTGGCGGCGGTGGTGGTGGCATCCCCGTTCCCGGTCCATTCGCATTCGGAAGCGGAGGCGGTGGCGGTGGTGGAGGACCAGTGATTCCAACCAGACCGGGTGGAGCTGGACACGTTCCAACTTTCTGCGTGATAAATCATCGAGTAGATATCAAAATTTGATAAACGATTGTAAGGTAGTCGCACGAACTCGCGTTTATTCGATCGAACGTGTTTAACGACAAACTCACAGCGTTACTACCGCTCGATCTCGTCCCTCCTTGTTCCAATTCTCTAATTTTGTTTTCCGCGTGCTGAAGTTTCGCCTCTGCTTCTTGTTTGCTAGCTATAGCCTCTTCCAACTTTTGCGACATTTCGAGTAATCGTATTTCTTCCTCCGCTCGCGATTTTTCGACCAACGTATCGATTAGCGGTTGTACGTCGACTTGAAAGCGCTTGGTCGCACTAAAATCCGGATCACAGCCTGAACGGTGCAACACTATTTGCGATACGCATTCTTCTATCAATTTATAGTAGGCCGGCCTGTTGGAGAAAAAAGAAAAGAAAAGAAAAGGAAAGAAAAACGGAAAGGAAAGGAAAGAAAAAGAAAGAAAAGAACAAAAAGGCAAAAAAAAAGAAAAGAAAAAAGAAAAAAAGAAAAAAAGAAAATAGAGAAATAAATAAAAACTGCGACACCAATGAATAAATGACATGCAAGGAGCCGTAACTGTTTCTTACCTCACCAAAGCATCGTCTCTGACGAATAAAAGATGTTGAAGTATCGATAAAAAATACGGTTCGGCGGACGTTTCCATCACCATATTTTTAATTACTTCGAAACAATCGTTCACATCGTCCAATTCTAATCGTACGTGATCGAATCTTTGCACAAATTCTTCATAATCTTCCTCCTTGTGATCATTGAAAATCTTGAGATGTCTGGCTAGATCCTCGGATTCGTTTTTTTCTAATGTCTCCAAAATATCGGCCAAGCCAACCCGCATAATTTCATTTCGCAAATGCAATCTAAAATCCAATTCTTCGGCCGAAGAAATGATGGAATTTATGAGTTGAAGACATTCCACCTATCCAACAACGAACAATCACGTGCGATTTAATGATTATAAACGAACGAACAGCGGCTAATGAGAATGGAGAGAGAAGAATAAAACAGAGTAGAAGGAAGAAGGGAAAGGGAAAGGGAAAGGGAAAGGGAAACGGAAACGAAAAGGGAAAACGATGAGACGGAACGTACCCGTAAGTTTTCATTTTTCTTATTCATTAGGCCTTGCACAATCGGTAAAAATCTTTCTCGCCCCTTAAATTCTCCGTTCATAGTGATCGCGTCTAAAACCTTTTTGTGGCTGTCGCTGGAAATAAGACAAACGGCGCCAAGCAGCTTCACAGCTTCCGACATAACGGATGGTTTGGCAGGTTCCAATGATCTAGCTACGATCGTAAGTGCTTCGTGATGAGCTAACATCTCCTTTATGCCAACGGTGTTATTCATAATAGCCTTCAAACATCGGATGCATTCGTATTGTATACGCTCGTATCGGTTGTCACTGTTACAGGATAGAATAATATCGGTTTAACGACATCGAAACTCGTTAGAGCGATGAAAATAAAAGGTAAAGGTAGTTTCGTTAAGCTGGCCGACTACTCGAAAAGTAAGGATCGGAA